TTTCTAGAAGCTACCTACATTCCTTGGCTTGTGACCTCCTTCTTCCATCTTTAAAGCTAGCAATGACAGGTGAAGTTACTCTTTTTTTTAAATTAGAAAAAATGTTTTTAAATGTTTTATTTATTTCTGAGAGAGAGAGAGAGCGTGAGCAGGGGAGGGTCAGAGAGAGGGATACAGAATCTGAAGGAGGCTCCAGGCTCTGAGCTAGCTGTCAGCACAGAGCCGGACGCAGGGCTTAACCCATGAACTGTGAGATCATGACCTGAGCTGAAGTCGGACGCTTAACTGACTGAGCAACCCAGGTGCCCCCAGGTGAAGTTACTCTTATGTTTGGAATCTCTTCTCCTTCCATCCCATCTCTCTGACCCAGAAAGAAAATATTCTCCACTTTTTAGGACTTGTGATCAGACTTGGCACACCCACATAATCCGGGATAATCTCCCCATTTCAAAGTCTGTTCCCTTGAGCATATCTGCAAAGTCCTATTGCCATGTTAGATAACATACTGAGAGTTTCCAGGGATTAGAGTCGTCTCCAAACACAGACATCTGTGGAGGGCAATTATTCTGCTTACTACAATTCTATATCTAAAAATCTAATAGGTAACCATTAAGTACTGTTGAGTGTGTTTGGGGAGTAATTAAGAGTCTCATGCTCTACCAACTGAGCTAGCCGGGCACTCTTCAGGAGTAATTAACAAGTAATGTGTTCAGTTTTATCTCAAATGTTTATTGATGTTATATATAGATATGGATACATCTATCTATATCTATCTATAGGTAGGTAGATAGATAGATATAGATACATGGATATAGATAGGCATAAAGAAAGGTATAGAAGGCTACACATCAGCGTGCTAACTGACACTAATTCAACCGGGATAGTCAGGATAGGGAACACAGTAAGGAAAAAGAGAGGACTGATTTTTTTCTTGATGTTTCCTTGGATGTTTTACTTTTTATGAGAAAAAATGTTTTCCTTTTGAAATTTAGCAAAGTATAACTAAAAATAAACTGGAATATGACACATTGGACCAGATGGACATAACAGATATATTTAGAACACTGCATCCCAAAACAGCAGAATTCACATTTTTTTCAAGTGAAAATGGAACATTCTCCAGAATGGATAATGTTACACCAAAAAACACATCTCAATAAATTAAAAAAATTGAAATCAAATTGCATCTTTTCTGACCATAAATAAAAATGAAACTAAAAATCAGTCACAAGAAAAAACTGGGAAAGAACAAAAAAACAAACACATGGAGGAAAAATAACATGCTACGAAACAATGAATGGGTCAACCAGGATATCAATAGGAAATCAAAAATTACATGGAGACAAATGAAAATGAAAACACAACAGTCCAAAGGCTTTGGGATGCAGCTAAAGCTTTGCTAAGAGGGAATTTTGTAGCAATTATGATCGACCTCAAGAAACAAGAAAACTCTCACATAAACAACCTAATCTTACACCTTTGGAACCAGAAAAAATCAGAATAAATGAAATCCAAAGCCAGTAGGAGGAAGGAAATCGTAAAGCTAGAACAGAAAAATAAAATAGAGGCTAAAGAAACAACAGAACAGATGAATAAAACCAGGAACTAGTTCTTTGAAAAGTTAAACAAAATTCATAAGCCTTTAGTCAGAATTATCAAGAAAAAAACCTAAGACTCAAATAAATAAAATCAGAAATGAAAGAGAAGTAAAAACCAACACCACAAAAATATAAAAAATTATAAAAGAATATTATGAAAAATTATGTGCCAACAAATTGGACAATCTAGAAGAAATTCCTAGAAACATATAACCTTTCAAAACTGAATCAGAAAGAAACAGAAAAATTTAATAGACTGATTACTAGCAATGAAATTGAATCAGTAATCAAAAAATTCCCAAAAAACAAAACGCCAGGACTAGATGGCTTCATAGATGAATTCTATCTAACATTTAAGGAGTTAATACCTATTGTTCTCCAAACAATAGAAGGGAAGGAGAGCTTCCAAGTTCGTTCTACGAGGGCAGCATTACCCCCATACCAAAACCAGATAAAGATACTATAAGAAATCAACGCACCGACAGCCAAAAACCAAAAACCAAAAACCAAAACCAAACCCCCAAAACTACAGGCCATTATCTCTGATAAACTTAGATGCAAAAATCCTCAACAAAATATTAGCAAACCGAATCCAACAGTACATTTAAAAAAAAATCATCCACCATTATCAAGTATGATTTATTCCAGGGATGCAAGGTGGTTCAATATGCACAAATCAATCAACATAATACATCACATTAATATGAGAAAGAATAAAAACCATATAATCATCTTATTAAAAGGATCACTATCCAAAATATATAGAGAACTTATAGAACCCAACACCAAAAAAACAAATAATCTGATTAAAAATTGGACTAGAGAACCTGAATAGAAATTTTTCAAAAGAAGACATACAGATGGCCAACAGACACATAAAATGATGTTCAAGAACACTAACCATCAGTGAAATGGAAATCAAAACCACAATGAGATATCACCTTACACCTGTCATAATGGCTAATATTAAAAACACAAGAAATAACAAGTATTGGCTAAGTGGAGAAAAAGGAACCCTCATGCACCATTGGTGGGAATGCAAATTGGTGCAGTCACTGTAGAAAACAGTATTTAATATTTCAAAATATTAAAAATAGAATTACAATATGATCTAGTAATTCTACTACTGGGCATTTACCCAAAGAAAACAAAAACACCTATTCAAAAAGACACATGCACGCCTGTGTTTACTGCAGCATTATTTACAATAGCCAAGATATAGAAGCAACCCAAGTGTCCATCTATAGATGAATGGAAAAGGAGATGTGGTATATAAACACAATGGAATATTACTTGGCCATAAAAAAAGAATAAAATCTTGGCATTTGCAACAGCATGGATGGATCTAGAGAGTATCATGCTGAGGGAAATAAGTCAGGCAGAGAAAGAAATACCATATGATTTCACTAATATGTGGAATTTAAGAAACAAAACAAATGAAAAGAAAAAATAAGTAAATAAACTCCCAAACAGACTCTGAAGTATAGAGAATAAACAGAGGGTTACCAGAAGGGAGCTAGGTGGGAGGATGGGTGAAATAGGTGACAGGGATTAAGAGTACGCTTATATTTTTTAAAATTCTTTTAAATATTTTTTTTAAAAATTTATTTCTGAAAGAGAGAGAATGAGACAGTGTGAGCAAGGGAGGGGCAGAGAGAGGGAGACACAGAATCTGAAACAGGCTCCAGGCTCTGAGCTAGCTGTCAGCACAGAGCCTGACGCAGGGCCCAACCCACAAACCTTGAGATCATGACCTGAGCTGAAGTCGGAGGCTTAACTGACTGAGCCACTCAGGCACTCCAAGAATATGCTTATCTTGACAAGTACTGAGTATTGTACAGAATTTTTGAATCAATATACTGTATACCTGAAACTAATATAAGGAGCACAGAGGCACTGAGAGTTCTCAATTTCTTTTTTAATGGCTTTCAGCTGAAGGTTGGTCTTAAAGAACCAGAGGACAGAATCTGAGCTGACCAAAGCACCTGAAAAGGGAAAAATCCCAGAGAGGGCAGCGAGAGAGAGTGAAAGCCTCAGATTCTGCGTCATAACCCTGCCAGTTCGGGCTGACCACTGAACTACCAGTGAATGAGGCAGACTCAAGCATCCATCCCAGTTAAAGTTAAAAAAACTCAGCAGTGATTTTCACTGTTACACAAGGGAGATAGAGCTTGGAATTTGAATTCAGTCAAGTTAACTGCTTGCTAAACACAAAAAAATGAACATTGTATAGAGGACTATACAATTGAATTCTAGAGTCATTCACAATACCAGGAAACAATAAAAAAACTGCGAAATGTATAAAGGAAAACATGACCAATACTCAAGATTAAAGCTGATCAATGGAGACAAGCCCCAAGATGATCCAGGTGTTAGAGACAAGCATTTTAAAGGAAAAATATGTTTGTAATGAATAAAATAGGAAATTTCAACAGAGAAATAGAAGTTTTAACAAAGATACAAATGGAAATTCTAAAACTGAAAAATCCAATATCTAATTTAAAAAAATCATTCTATGGGCTTAACAGCAGATTGGAAATAACAGAAGAGTTGATGAACTTGAGAACAGATCAATGGAAATTATCCACGATGAAGAATAAAGGAAAAAAAGATTCTAAAAGTTAGCAGAGAGTCAGGGACTTCAGTAAAGATCTAATATACCTGTAAATGAAATACAGAAGGAATGAAGTAAGAGAATAGGTAAAAAAAAATTTTTTGAACAAATAATGGCCCCAAATTCTTCAAATTTCATGAAAAGAATTCTCAAACATAGCTTTGATGGAGAAAACTGATTTAAATTTTATGGAAATCAACTGGGCCATGTGAATCAAGAATCTTAAAAGTACTGATATGAACTTTGAGTTTGTAGTTCCATTTATAGGAATCCATACCAAAGACATAGGTAAAAATAAAAACTTATTCTATAAATATTCTTTAAGGAATAATTTATAACAGCAAAATCTTATATTATTCAATAGTAGGCTAATAGATAAATATTGAGCAATACTTGCCATACAATAAATATTTGTTGAATGAATTAACATTAACTTTTCATAAAATAAATTATGACATCAGAAAATACGTTACAGTGAAAAAAGCAAAAATTAAAATTCTGCATAAATATAATCTCTATTACTCAAAACAGAATATATTATTATAAAAAAAGATAGAAAGAGGCAGAGGCTCAAAGTATCATCTCTGAATGGTAGGATCATGAATGATTTTTATTCTTTATACTTTTCTATATTTTTAAAAACTTTATGAGAACGTATTTATTCATATTATCAGAAAACTGGACTTACATAAAGCTGTAAAAACATACTAAACATAAGCTTAATGTTTGTGTCTTAGTATCTATATCCTACATGTTCTTGCTTTCACCCACCCATAACTCAGGTTTACCTTGGTCCAGAGTCTTCCCCATTCATATGCAGATTGAGTCCTTGGGCTTTAGTAAACTCTTTAGCGGCAATGAGTTCTCTTGTCTTAAATACAGCTTGATTTCTTAACCTGAAAAAAAATTTAGAGACTTTCTAATCCTGTGGAACCTAAGTAACTGAATGGTAACTCTTGGAAGACCATATGCCTTCAGCTAGACCTCAAACAATTGTTTTCAAATTAAAACTTGATCTGTTGGAGTGCCTGGGTGGCTCAGTTGAGCATCTGACTGTGGCTCAGGTCATGAGTTTGAGCTCTGTGCTGACAGCTCAGAGCCTGGGGCCTGCTTGGGATTCTGTGTCTTCTTTCTCTCTGTCCCTCCTCCACTCATGCTCTGTCTCTGCGTCTTTCAAAAATAAAATAAAACATTAAAAAAAAACCCTCAATCTGTCAAAATAAATGGGCACTTCCTAAGTAAATATGATGTAAATAAAAGAAACACAAATCAGTTTTACAGGAACTTAAATTTTCTTATTTACAGAGGAGTTGGAGAAGACTGAGTTGGTCAGAAGATCATTTAAAACCCTAACATTACAGATTCTTTAGGAGTACTTTAACTTTCTTTGTTAGAAATTTCAAGTTTCTTTCTATTCATTCCCAAGCAAGTGTATTTTGATTATCGGAGTCTTAATGGGAATTCTAGTAACACTAGAAGGCAAATATTTCTCATATTGCCAATTCAAAGAGCTGGGGCTATGCCTCACTGAGCAACCTGTTTCTTAAGATCACAGAAACTGGAAGAAATTCTATCTAGTAATGGTAACTAGCCCCATCCTCCATGTGCTTAGGAGAGAAGGCAGCTAAAGAAATTAGCATGTTCTACCAGAGTCTGGACGACAATTAACCACTGGCACCTTTTCTACCCATATATGACCCTTTTCTACCCATTTTCTAAGTTTTTTAGAATAATTCTCTGGTTCATTTTTAGAAATGAAATCTGTAGAAGTATATTCTTTAACTATGAAATAAAACCATGAAGAGGTGAAAATATTATTAAAATGACATTATAATTTCCATCATTGTTAAAGACATTCTTATAACTGCAACTAATTATGCACAGTAATAAACAAAGAAAAATATGTAGGGGCTCCTGGATGGCTCAGTTGGCTAAATGTCCAACTCTTGGTTTTAGCTCAGGTTATGATCTCAGTTTGTGAGATTGAGCCCCACCTGGGGCTCTGAGCTGATAGCATGGAGCCTGCTTGGGATTCTCTCTCTCTCTCCCTCTCTCTCTGTCCCTCTCACACTCTCTGTCTCAAAAATAAATAAACATTGACCAAAAAAAAAGTAGATTAGTTACCCTCTAGGAACTTAGAATTTTATAATAATATTTTGTAGTAACACATAGGTAGGTAGGTAAATGCAGAAAGCAGAGAAGCTATACTTCTATCAGACAAAGTAGACAAATCAAAAATTATAAAAAGAGACAAAATCACTACATAATAATAAAAAGGTTGATTCATCAAGATATTAGCAAAAAAAAAAAAAAGGAGAGAGGATATTAGCAATTATAAATATATGTGTACCTAAGGCCAACAGCACCTAAATTTATTAAGCAAATACTAACATATATGAAGGGAGAAACAGACAATTCAATAACAGCAGATTGCTTCAATACCCTACTTTCAACAAGATCATCTAGATATTAAAGACAGATCATCCAGATATTAAAGAAACGCTAGACTTGAACTATACTTTATATAAAATAGAACAGACATATACAGAACATACCATCCAATACTAGCAGTACACATATTTTTTTCAGGTATACACAGAACATTTTCCAAGACAGATCATGTTAGATCACAAAACAATTCTTAGCAAATTTAATAAGACTGAAATCATACCTTTTCCAAACACAATGTTATAAAACTAGAAGTCAGTAATAGAAGAAAACAGAAAAATTCATAATAAGTGGAAATTAAACAACACATTTTTGAACAACCGGTGAGTCAAAGAAGAAATCAACAGGGACACCAAGAAATATCTTGAAACAAATGAAAATAGAAACATAACATACCAAAATTTATGAAATGCAGCATAAACAGTTCTAAGAGGGAAGTTTACAGACATAAATGTCTACATTAAGAAAAAAGAAAGATCTCGGGGTGCCTGGGTGGCTCAGTTGGTTAAACATGTGACTTCGGCTTAGATTGTGATTTCGCGGTTCCTAAGTTTGAGCTCTGCATCGGGTTCTGTGCTGATGGCTCAGAGCCTGGAGTCTGCTTGGGATTCTGTGTCTCTCTCTCTATCTGCCCCTTCCCCACACACAGTCTATCTTTCTCTGTCTGTCAAAAATAAACAGTAAAAAATTTAAAAGAAGAAAAAAATTGAGATCTCTAATAAACAACCTATAATTATACCTCAAGGAACTATAAAAAAGAAGAACAAACCACCAGAGTTAGGCCAGAGTTAGGTGAACGGAGGTAATAACAATGGCCAGAGCAGATATAAGAGACTAAAAAATAATAGAAAGGATTACTGAAACTAAAAGCTGGTTTTTTGAAAGGATAAAATAAATAACAAACTTTTAGACTAAGAAGAAAGAGAGGACTCAATAAAAGTAGAAACGAAAGAGAAGACATTATAACTGATACCACAGAAACACAAAGGGTCATAAGAGGCTACTACAAATAATTATATGCCAAAATATTGGATAATCCAGAAAAAATGATAAATTCCTAGAAGTATACAACCTACCAAATGGAATCATGAAGACTGATTAAACCAGTGAGCAAAACCTTATTGACAAAGAAATATCCGGGACTGGATTCGCTGGTGAATTCTACCAAACATTTTAAGAAGAATTAATACAAATCTTCCTCAAACTCTTCCAAAAAATTGAATAGGCAGAAACACTCCCAAAGCCATTGTATAAAGCAGAATTATCCTAATACCAAAGCCAGTTAAGGACACCACAAGAAAAAAAAAATAGGTCAATAACTCTAATTAGTATAGAAAGGGAAAAAAATCTCAAAATACTATCAAATGGAATTTACCACATTAATAGAAGAAAAATAAAAATCATATGATCATCTCAATAAATGCAGAAAAAGCATTTGGTACAATCCAACATCTTTTCATGATAATAGCTCTCAAGAAATTTAGTCTAGAAAGAACATAACATAATCAAGGGCCATATATCACAAGACCACTACTAACATCATATTTAATGGTTAAAGTTTAGAAACTTTTCCTTTAAGATCAGGGACAAGCCAAGGATCCCCCCTCTTGCCACTTTTATTCTACATACTGAAAGTACCAGCCAGAGCAATTAAGCAAGAAAAGCAAATAAAAGATGCCCCAATCAGAAAAGAAAAGTAAAATTTTCTGTTTGCAGATGACACAATCTTATGTATAAAAAACAATGAAGATGCCATCAAACAACTGTTAGAACTAAAGAACAAATTCACTAAAAGTGCAGGATACAAAAATCAACATACAAAAATCAGATGAACTTCTATACACTAACAATGAACTACCTAAAAAATAAATTAATATATGAATCCCATTTACAGTTGCACAAGCATAATACACTAGAAATAGAAAACTATCTGAAAACAATACACTTAGAATAAATTTAACCAAGGAGGTTAAAACTACACAAAAACTATAAGACATTGTTGGAAGAAACTGAGGAAAACATAAATACATGGAAAAATGTCTTGTGTTCATGGATTGGAAGAATTACTTTTGTTAAAATGCCCATACTACCAACAGTGATCTACAGGTTGAATGCAATCCTTATCAATATTCCATTGGAATTTTGCACAGAATTAGAAAAATCAAGTCTAAGATTTATATGGAACCAAAAAGACCCCAAATAGCCAAAGTAATCCTGAGAAAGAACAAAGCTGGAGGCATCACACTTCCTAGTTTCAAATAATACAAAGCTATCACAGTCAAAACAGTGATGGTTTACAAACAGGCATAAAGATCAATAGAATAGAATAGAAAGCCCAGAAATAAACTTGAGCAGATACAGTCAGCTAATTTTTGCTCAGTATACTAAGAATATGCAATGGGGGAGCCTGGGTGGCTCAGTTGGTTATGCGTCTGACTTCAGCTCAGGTCATGATCTCACGGTTCATGGGTTCAAGTCCCGTGTCAGGCTCTGTGCTGACAGCTAGTTCAGAGCCTGGAGCCTCTTCAGATTCTGTATCTCCCTCCCTCTCTGACCCTCCCCTGCTCACACGGTTTCTCTCTCTCTCAGAAATAAATAAAAAACATTAAAAAAAAAAAAAGAATACGCAATGGGGAGGGATAGTCTCTTCAATAAATGGTGTTGGGAAAATTGATATCCACGTGCAAAAGAATGAAAAATTGAACTGGATTAAAGACTTAAATGTAAGACCTAAAACTGTAAAACTACTAGAAGAAAACAGAGAAAAACTCCTTGACATTAGTCTTGGCAATGATTTTTTGGATTTGACACCAAAAGCTCAGGCAAAACTAGTAAAAATAAGTGGGACCACATCAAGATAAAAGGTTTCTGCACAGTAAAAGAAATAAATTATAAAAATGAAAAGGCAACCTATGGAATGACAGAGGCACTGAGAAGACATTTTTCCAAAGAAGACAGATAAGTTGACTAGCAGGTACATGAAAAGTTGCTCGACATCACTAATTGTCAGTGACATGCAAATCAAAACTACAGTGAGATATTGCTTCACACCTGTTAGATTGGCTTTGAGCAAAAGGATAAAAAAATAACAAATGTTGGGCAGGATATGGAGAAAAGTGTATTCCTATACACTGTTGGTGAGAATGTAAATTGGTACAGCCATTATGAAAAACAGTATGGAGGTTTCTCAAAAAAAAAAAGAAAAAAAACCCCAACAAACGTAAAAGCAGAACTACTATATGATCCCATAATCTTACTTCTTGGTATCTTTTCAAAGGAAATGAAGTTAGTATCTTGAAGAGATATCTGCACTTCCACGTTCACTGTAGCATTACTCATAATGGAAACAACCTGAGTGTCTGTTACCACATGAACGGAAAAAAAGATATATATAAATATATATATTATTCAGCCATGAGAAAGACAGAAATCCTGACTTTTGTAACACCATGGATGAACCTAGAGGAACATTATATTAAATGAACACACGAATATACCAAAATATGTAAGACATAGTTAAAACAGTGCTGAGAGGGAAATTTATAGCACTAAATGCTTCCACCAGAAAAGAAGAAAAGTCTCCAATTAATAATCTAAGCTCCCACCTTAAGAAATTTAAAAATACAAGAGCAAGATAAATCCTATAAAAGCGGAAGGAAGAAAATAATAAAAAACTTAATGAAATTAATAAATGAAACCAAGATTACCTTGGTACCAAAATTAGACAAAGACAGTACAAAAAAACAAAACAAAACAAAACAAAACAAAACAGAAAAATACAGACGAAAATTCTTCATCAATACTGGTGCAATGCCCCTAACAAATTAGTAAATGGAATTTGGTAATATATAAAAAGTATTTTACACTATGACCAAATGGGACTTATTCCAAGAGTGTAATACTAGGTCAATATTAAAAAATAAACAAATACAACCCAACATGTTAGCAGGCTAAATTTAAAAAAATCACAGGATCACCTTAACTGATTCATAAACAGAATTTGAGAAAATTCAACAAACATTCATGATAAAAACTTTATGTAATCTATAAGGAGAAAAGTGATAAATTAAACTTTATCAAAATAAAAATCGCTTTTGCTCTGTGAAAGATCCTTTTAAGTAAGATTAAACAGACAAGCTGCAGAATAGGAGAAAATGTTTGTAATCCACCTATTTAAGAGAGGATGTATTTAGCATATATAAAAAGCTCTCAAAATTCAGCAAACTTCAAGCAATCCAATTAGAATATAGACAAAATATAATAAAGAGACAATTTACCCAAAAAGATGGAAGAAGAGCAAATAAGCAAATGAAAAGATTTTCAACGTCACTAGCCTTAGGGAAATACAAGTTAAGACCACAGTGAAATATCACAACACACAGATTAGAATAGGCAAAATAAAAATTTGTGACAATTCCAAATGCTGGTAAGAATGTGGAGAAACAATCCCTTATATGTTGCTGGTGAGGACATATTTTATACTAAATGTGGTATAAGCGAAGTATATATTTAATTTTTTAAAACTAATATACACTTATACGATCTAGCAATCACACTCCTAATTTTTATTTGTAGAAATGAAAACCTTAGTCCACACCAAAACTTGTATAAAAATGCACATAGCAGCTCTCCTCATAATAGGCAAAGAACCAAGCTGTCCTTCAATAGATAAATGGTTAAACAGATCATGGTACAACCATATCACGGATTACTACTCCAAAATCAAAAGGTACAGCATATGTTACAACCTAGATGGATCTCAAGAACATTATATACTGAGTGAAAAAAGTCAACATAGGAAGTTCATATACTGTATAATCTCACTTATATAACAATTTCAAAATGCAAAAGTTATAGAAATAAACAACAGATTAGTGGTTTCCAAGGGTTAAGGATGGTGAGGGAAGAAGAGGGTGGACAACTCAAACAGGATAGTAAAAAGGAAACCTTGGTGTTGTTGAAATAGTTCCATAGTTTGATTGTTGTGATGGTTACACTAGTCTACACGTGGTAAAATGGCATGGAACTAGACACATACACTATACCAATGCCAACTTACTAATTTTGATATTGTACATAAGATACAGCCATTGGGAGACACTGGGAGGACATCTCTGTACTATTTATGCAACTTCCTGTTAATCTATAATTATTTGAAAATAAAAAGTTTAAGAGCACCTGCGTGGCTCAGTAGGTTAAATGTCCGACTTCGGCTCAGGTCATGATCTTACAGTTTGTGAGTTTGAGTCCTGCATCAGGCTCTGTGCTGACAGCCCAGAGCCTGGAGCCTGATTCGCATTCTGTGTCTGCCTCTCCCCAACTCACCACACACACTCTCTCTCTCTCTCTCAAAAATAAATAAACATAAAAAAATAGAAAAGAAAAAGTTTAAAATAGCTCTATAAATATGGATAAACTTTTACAATTTATGCATATACAAAGCTTGATGAAAACCTGTTTCATAGTGCTCTCATCTAAGCTAGGATGACCAAGAGAACAATAAAGACTTTATTGTCATTATGCAGCATTATTTCAATAAATGGTGCTGTTCAAATGAACATGAAACCTATTCTAAAACTATCCATTCTCTCCTTCTGGACTATGCCCTCTTTGATGACCACGTTTGATTCATCTCTCTATCCTAAGTGCCTAGAACCATTTCTCACATACCATAGGCATTCAATAAATGTTAGTGAAATAAAGTTCCCAAGAGAGACTAGATATTGATTAAAGGATTGGAGATTGGGGTCATCAAACTGAAGCAATCTTTTGGCCTTTGGTGAAAATCTTGTTATAAGAACCTTCATTTTCAGTTATATTAAGAACCTCTAGCTTTCAACAGTGAAGAATAGAACTGTCCGATCATGAAGAAAGAGAAAGAGCACTTCTGGTTCCAAGTATTACACTAAAGGAAAGATTTTGAGATGGAACTCTCAAAGATATTAGAATCAAAAAAATATTGAGCAGAATCTGTGAGAGAAAATTAACTCTAAGAAGTAAAAGAAAATGACATTTGTACTATGTGTCTGTATAGGATGTATGTGTCTGCATAGAATGTATACCAAAGGGAAATGGTAAGTTTGATCAGGAAGGAAATGGCAGGGACAGATCTACAAGCACTTCCGTATGAAAGCTTGTAATTTATTATTTATTTATTTTGAGAGAGCGAGAATAGTTTAAATGTGGATAAGTTTATAGAAATTGGTTATTGAACAGGTTATGCTTCATGATGAGAAAAAGTTGAATTTAGAAGGCTCTTATCATTTGTTACATGTTATATTATGGTGGATAGACATAAATATGGAGTGATGACACTTAATCACTCTGATTCACAATCTGATTCCACATTTTTACTTAATGCCTAATAGTCTCTACAATGACCTCAAACAGCAGCGGATTTTGTGTAATAATATCTTCTAAAAATATTCTTTTTAGAATCCAGCAAAAGTCACAATGGACTATGCAGAGGTAGATATTCTAGGCTAACATTTGAGAAGATGGGGTAATGTTCCAAGTCTTCCAAAGAAGATCATGGAATTTACTTAGTTGTCATAGTTAGCAGGCTTCTTGAGGAAGCCAAGATCCAGGGAACCTCTGCGCCTTTGCAACTTTATATTAGCACAATAGTCTTTTTACTCTGAGTTCTCCAAGCTAGACATTGCTGAGAGAACAGGGAAGACTCACCAATTATAATCCAGTCGAGACTGATGAAGCTGCTGCTGTTTTAAGAGAAGCTTTGTCTCCTGCTGTGTCAGCAGATGCTGAAGGCGCTCTTTTTCAATTTCCAGCTCCATCTTCTGAAGCATAAGTTGGTGCCTTCTATTTTCTGAGAGTTGCTTTTTGACATCAGTTTCACTAGACTGCTGTGCCCCTTGACCATGCAACAGGGATGTCCAGGAAATCCCACAATTACTGCATGATTCCAGATGTGTTTTGGAATATTGAGGGGCCATTTGCGTAGGCTGACTTTCATGAACATGGTCTTCATTTTCAGAAAGTCTATGACCACAACACTGACTGGATGAAGTAGGCTTCAGGTGTTGGCATTCTTTCATCTTCAATTCCACTGGTAGGGCTTTCTCTGTAGGAACTGCATCTACTAGTTTTCTCCCAGGAGATCCATAATCACATGTCCTGGTCTCTACTGGCACCCTGTCTAGATCCTTTTTGGGGTAATGAAAGTCTGCTGGTTTCAAAGAATTATTCCTAAACTCAACAAGGGATTCTGAAGCAGAGTTCTGGATTGCAGACATAGGCCTCTGCTTGGTTTGATAGCGGGTTTGTGATTTGGCTACACTCAAGTAGGAGCCATCCAATTCCCCAGCTGAAGACTGAAGAGTGCTTTTCCTATTGGACACCTAAAGGGAACCACAAGATCATTTGTCAAATAAGAGCACACTGAAAGGGGTTCTTTTGACTTTACAGAATCAGGGGTTCTTTTGACTTTACAGAAAACAAAGCTCTTGTTTTGTCTTCTTAAATAATAAATGATTGCATTCACATTGCTCAACAGACATGTGCCACAAAGCTAAACTCATTTTCAAACAATCTACATTTCAGTAAATCCATAAGGAAGAGAAAAAGAAAGTGCTGCTATTTGCTGCTTAAGCAAGATGCCAGGAGTTGCAAGTTAACGAGTTTTATACAGAATCAATTTTGAGAAGAGGCAAAAGCATTAAACGTTAAGGTCCTAAAATGTTTACTGTTAAATACTAAGCCAAGAAATCCACTCAGCCACCTTAAATACCCTTTGAAATGCCCTTTGATTGTCCACTACACACAATGAGATTTGATGTAAAACAGTTCATCTTATACTGAACAGGATGTTAGTTACCACTAGAAATTTGATGAGTTTTTATAAATATCTTTAGAACACACAGATAAAACCAAGCACTTTCCAAAAAATATGATTCTAATCAAAAGCAGTTATTTAAATACAAAACATATTTAATTTCAGCTATAAACATAAGTGATTTTTCAATTAAGCTGTTCGAGTGATTATAGCCTGGTAGAACTCAGGCAGAAAGGAAGCAGTTGCAAATTACCTTTGGCAGGCCAATAGTGGGAGCTTTCCCAGCATTTTAGCCTCACGCCTGTTCTATCAGGGAGAGCAAAACTTAGCTTAAGAGTCTCTAACTTTAGCATGTATCAGAATTACCTGGAAGAACTGTCAAATGTGAATCTCTGGGCATCATCCCTAGAGTTTCCAATTCAGTAAGCCTGGAGCTGAGTTAGAGAGCTGTGTTTTTAACAAGTTGCCAGGTAATGCTGATGCTGCTAATCTGGGACCACACTTTGAGAACCACTGGTCTCATGGGACATCTGACTCTTCCTGTGTCCCTCTTGTAGGACTGTTTTGGTAACCCTGGCCTCATCCAGGTAATCCTGGATAATTTCCTCATCTCAAGATCCTTAACTTAATCACATCTATAAAGTCTCTTGTGATACAAAATTCTTTGTGTCATATAAAGAGACTTTCACAGGTTCCAGGAATTAGGACGTTGGGGGGCCATTATTCCGTCTACCACAACTTCTTTTTAAATAGAACTAACTCATAAACAGTTAAAAATGATTATCTTATTCTAGAGACGTGGAATAAATGAATAATTGCGATCCCTAGCAGAAGAGATAGAAAAAAAAATCCCACCAATTTACCTTGCAATAGTTGAAAATGATGATCTGATTGATAAAAAATGTCACCAGATATACAATACCACCATGTTTCCTATATTCTTTTTTCTTAATATATTTTTTAAATGTTTATTTATTTATTTTGAGAGAGAGAGAAAGGGAGGGGAAGAGAGAATCCTGAGCAGGCCCCAAGCTTGGCTCAGAGCCCAACTCAGGCTCAACCCCATGACTGTGAGATCATGACCCAGGTCAAAACCAAGATGCTTAACCGACTGAGCCACCCAGGCATCCATGTTTCCTATCTTCTGATAAAAGAGGGCTACTGCAATGATTCTTAAGGCTTTGAGTTTCTCAAGCAATACTAAAGGAGTTCTATTCAAATGAAAATGAGCCACATCTATGAAGAAGACTTGGTCCTCTTCAAAGAAAACACACAATCCTTTACACTGAGCAGATGACACACAGAGTGGATTGCAAGCTACAGAGAAGAAACTAGTCCTGGAGCAAAATTTATGATAAACTACCTCAGAAAAAAAATTAACCATATTTTACAACTAAAGGGAAACTCTAGTCCACATTAATCTCCCCTACTCTGAACTTCTGTAGCACTTACTGTCAAAACAAATATTTAACATTTATCATCTGCTACTTTGTATGGTAAGCTATATTTTTATAGAATTATATTATATTTAAAAAATGACAGTGAATTTTTTAAAGGTATGGAAACTTAAATCAACTTTTACATTATCCTATATTTCCTAATCCATAACAATAGCACCTATGTATTATTTTATATTAAGATTTTTGTTCCTTAGCATTATTTACATGTGTGTATGTTTTGGGTACTGATATGGCTGATACTTATGTTAATGGTACTGATTTCTAAATTATTCATAAATGTCACATATTTGGAATATTTAACAATATTTTTTGGAAACGTCAGGTAATTGGAATATTAAAAAAATATTTGTTTGGTAGTTAACTTTTTATGTTTATGAGAAGCAGTTTAACTTAATGGTTTTGATGCACACTTTGCTCAAAGAGAACACTGCTTTGCCAATTACTGATGGGTGACTGTGCATGTTGGTAGGCAGACTTCTAAGATGGTCCCCAAGACTCCTGTCCTCTTTGTGTGCCCACATGGTATTATATCCTCACCTTGAATGTGGGTATAACTTGTGAACATGATGAGATATTAATCCCAGTATTATGCTACAGTATATGGCCAAAGGTACATTACAGATTAACTCAGGCTCCTCCTAATCAGTTGACTATGAATTAATAAAAAGGATATTATCTTTTACAGGCCAGACCTAATCAAGTAAGTCCTTTATAAAAGGGTCTGGTACCCTCCCTAAGATCAGAGATTGGCCTTGAAGAAATAAGCTAACATATAATGGGAGGACCAATGAAGGGGGTCATGTGGCAATGACCTCTGGAGCAGAAGGGTTTCTAGCCCACAGCTGGCCAAAATGAGACACCAGGAAACTAAATTCTGCCAACAACCACGTGAGCTTGGAGGGGACCTAGAGCTCCAGATGAGAATGCAGCCCAGCTGTCACCCAGACTGCAGCTTTCTAAGGCCCCAAGCAGAGGACCCAACCAATGTGTGCCTGACAAACAACCCATATAAATGGTGAGATAATGGGGCACTTGTTTGGCTCTGTTGGTTAACCATCTGACTTCAGCTCAGGTCATGATCTCATGGCCTGTGGATTTGAGCCCTTCATCGGGCTCTGTGCTGACAGCTCAGAGTCTGATGCCTGCTTCAGATTCTGTGTCTCCCCCTCTCTCCACCCCTCCCCAACTCACTCTCTGTCTCTGACTCTCTCTCTCTCTCAAAAATCAACATTAAAAAAATTTAAAAAAAAAGAAATGGTGAGATAATAAATGTGTGTTGTATTAAACTAGTAAATTTGTAGTAACTTTTTGCACAGCAATAAAAAAATGAATAAAGCATCTTACTCAACTTGCCTGACCTCAGTTTTCTCATCAGTAAAACAGGGATTAAAGACAGCATCTACCTTAAAACTGAACATGGTGGTCAGACAGATGGGCAGTTACCAAGGGTGCCATTTCATAAGGGTACCATTTCATAAGGGTACCAATTTACAAAAAGGACAAAAAAACCCTTATATTTAACCAAATGTTTTTCAAGGAGAACATTATGGGGTATGTGTGTAGGAGGGTAAGAGGGAAGTGAGATCTCCAAGGGACATGTATGGTTACAACAATTACCTTAAATTGTCTTCTAAAGTGAATGAGTTTGGTTATCCAGCTTTATTTTGCTACAGTGAGGTTTGCAAGTTGGACCAGAGTTGAAATGCTTTAGATAATGGAGAGGTTCTTCATGTTTGTCCTCATACAAAAGATGTCAGTCGTACCCTGACATCTTGCCCTGACTCTTAGGGCTGTTGTGATGGCTGGATGAGATAATTCACACAAAACTCTTTGGATATTGCCTATCTAGTCAGTATTCAAACAATATTTCCTATTATAATTATTACTACTGTTATTGTCATTGATTTCTCTGCTGCAACAATTTTTGACGTAGGGTTATATTTACTTCCTCTGTACGTATAGCACTGAGGCTTGCACATAGTACGTTCTCAATAACGAGGGGCTGGCTATATCAGATAAGTAGAAAAGTCAAGTTGAGGTATTGGTCACAGAAAATTAGAAACAAAAATCAGAATCCATGATTAGGCTGAATTATGTGCTACTAAGGAAGATGAAGAGAGGAGAAATAGAAAACTGCCTGTTAGGATCTGAATATAAGAAATTATTTCATTAGTGAAATGAAGACAAATATTGCCTCTGGGACACGTGAAGTCACAACTGGCCCGAATGAAACAGGTGTGTTTTTCTTTCTCGAGCTGCTGCTCCATACCTTCTATGAGATGTTTACAAATGTAACCTCTTTTAACTAAGGCTTAAACTAACAAATCCCAAACTGCTGTCTCTGGCATATGGGTTTGATATAAATTTTTCAGATACATAACGCTAATTTAGGAACCAATAATTTTTTTAATGGAGGCATAATTTACATATACTAGAATGCACACATCTTAAGTGTACAGCTTGATGAATTTTTACATTTGCATATATCCATGTAATCATCATTACCCCAGAAAGATCCCTTGTGCCCTTTCAACTCAAGCCAACTTCCTCACACTCCCAGAGGTAACCACTATTCTCATTTCTATGACCATAGACTAGTTTTGCCTATGTTTAGCTTCACATAAATGAAATCCTATGGCATGCTACTCTTTTGTGGCTAGCTTCTTATGCTCAACACAAGTTAGAAGGTTTATTTTTGAGAAAGAGAGGACAGAGGATCTGAAGTGGGCTCTGCACTGACAGCAGAAAGAATGTTGTGGGGCTCCAACTCACAAACCAGGATACCATGACCGGAGCTGAAGTTGGTTGCTCAAAAGACTGAGTCACCCAGGTGCCCCATTAAGTTCAACTTAATTTTGAGTTTCTTTTATGTTGCTGTGTGTACTAACAGTTCATTCTTTTTTATTGCTGCATAATGTTTCATTATATGAACATAACAACATTTGTTTATTCATTCTCCTTTTGGATTAGGTTGTTTCTGGTTTAGGGCTATTATGAATAAAGCTGCTAGCAATATTCTTATACAAAGGTTTTTTTTGACATACGTATTTATTTTTCTTGGGCAAGGGTAGGCATATGTTTGCCTTTATTAGAAACAGAGTGGTCA